CGCCGAAGCCGAAATCGCTTAGGACATCCTCGCAAAATCGCTCTTGGTGCTGCTAGAACTCCATTCCCGGGCCACATTTTGGATGCCCGGAGCCAACTGTAGGCCACTTCGTGCTCTTCGACTTCCCAGAACTCCATTCCTGGGCCACATTTTGGATGCCCGGAGCCAACTGTAGGCCACTTCGTGCTCTTCGAGTTCCCAGAACTCCATTCCCGGGCACATTTTGGATGCCCGGAGCCAACTGTAGGCCACTTCGTGCTCTTCAAGTTCCCAGAACTCCATTCATGGGCATGATTTTGAATGCCCGGAGCCAACTGTAGGCCACTTCGTGTTCTTCTAGTTCCTAGAACTTCATTCCTGGGCCACATTTTGAATGCTGAGGCAGGCTGATGCTGCGGCTGAGGCAGGCTGACGCTGAGGCAGGCTGAGGCTGAGGCCGAGGCTGAAGGCAGACTGAGACTGAGGCTGAAGCAGACTGAGGCTGAGGCTGAGGCAGGCTAAGGCTGAGGCTGAGGCAGGCTGATGCTGAGGCAGGCTGAGGCTGAGGCTGAGGCTGATGCAGGCTGAGGCTGAGGCAGGCTGAGGCTGAGGCCGAGGCTGAAGGCAGACTGAGGCTGAGGCTGAAGCAGGCTGAGGCTGAGGCTGAGGCAGGCTGAGGCTGAGGCAGGCTGAGGCTGAGGCTGAGGCAGGCTGAGGCTGAGGCTGTGACTGAGACTGCCGTTGCCGCTGCGACTGTCATCGCGAATGCGACTACGACTGCGAGAACAGCAGAATTCTACAACTGGATTTTCATCTGAATCTTAAGGGGAATGCTTTCAGATTTGCTTCTACACATCGCTGTTAGGTTGCTTTGCCGGGATAATTTTTGACTGTGATTGAAGATTCCTCCTGTAGGGACACAGGCCCGACTTAAGCCTTCTCCGCAGAGACGCACACACAGAGAAAGCACAGAATCCGCCCTCAGAACAATTCACCCCGTCACGCGAAGCCGTTCAGGAAACGCACCCAGGAAAGGAAACGCACGCAGGGCAGGGCTGCTTGGTAAACGCCCCGGGCCGTCTCGCAAACGCCCATGATCGGGTCCCGGTGGTTAAACTTCCCTTTAGCAAACCTCCCCTTAGTGAAAACGGCCTAGGACCGAAACCGACGGACCTGGACCTGCAGAAATGACGGTCGGAGGGCCAAAAACATGTGGGATACAGCAGTGCGGGCGCGGCCGCAAAAAACCCTCGCAAGAAACCCAACCCTGAGAACCCGCGCGCGAGGTGCACCTGAGTGGAAACCTGGAGCACCCTGAACGCAGCAGCTCCCTCAGTGGCTGCGGGAAGTCGCCGCGCAGCGCGAGGAGCGAAGAAACCCAGGATACCCTGACGAAAAGCACATGGTTTCTTGATGCGCGCCCCCACTGTAACTTGTTTTTTTACCTAACAGCTTTTGCTGATAGGTTTCTAGTGGTCTCAAAAGAGAGCAGCAGATGACTCCACAGGGGGGTCCGGGCGGGACCCGGGGCGGCTGCCGTCGAAGCCCAAATCGCCTGGGACATCCTCGCAAAATCGCTCTTGGCGCTGCTAGAACTCCATTCCCGGCGTACATTTTGGATGCCCGGAGCCAACTGTAGGCCACTTCGTGGTCTTCGAGTTCCCAGAACTCCATTCCCGGGCTACATTTTGGATGCTCGGAGCCAACTGTAGGCCACTTCGTGGTCTTCGAGTTCCCAGAACTCCATTCCCGGGCCACATTTTGGATGCCCGGAGCCAACTGTAGGCCACTTCGTGGTCTTCGAGTTCCCAGAACTCCATTCCCGGGCATGATTTTGAATGCCCGGAGCCAACTGTAGGCCACTTCGTGTTCTTCTAGTTCCCAAAACTCCATTCCTGGGCCACATTTTGAATGCTGAGGCAGGCTGAGGCTGAGGCCGAGGCAGGCTGATGCTGAGGCAGGCTGAGGCTGAGGCTGAGGCTGATGCAGGCTGAGGTTGAGGCAGTCTGAGGCTGAGGCCGAAGCTGAAGGCAGACTGATGCTGAGGCTGAAGCAGGCTGAGGCTGAGGCTGAGGCAGGCTGAGGCTGAGGCTGAGGCAAGCTGATGCTGAGGCAGGCTGAGGCTGAGGCTGAGGCTGATGCAGGCTGAGGCTGAGGCAGGCTGAGGCTGAGGCCGAGGCTGAAGGCAGACTGAGGCTGAGGCTGAAGCAGGCTGAGGCTGAGGCGGAGGCTGAGGCAGGCTGAGGCTGAGGCTGAGGCAGGCTGATGCTGAGGCAGGCTGAGGCTGAGGCTGAGGCTGATGCAGGCTGAGGCTGAGGCAGGCTGAGGCTGAGGCCGAGGCTGAAGGCAGACTGAGGCTGAGGCTGAAGCAGGATGAGGCCTGAGGCAGAGGCAGGTGAGCAGGACTGAGGCGAGCATATGCTGAGGCAGGCTGAGGCTGAGGCGAGGGCTTGGAGGCAGCTGAGGCTGAGGAAGCCTGAGGCTGAGCCGAGGCTGAAGGCAGACTGAGGTAAGGCTGAAGCAGGGCTGAGGCTGAGGCCTGAAGCAGTCTGAGGCGAGGCTGAGGCAGGTGAGGCTGAGGGCAGGCTGAGGCTGCGGCTTAGGCTCGAGGCTCACTGCAGGCGAGGGTGAGGAGAGGAGGCTGAGGTCGAAGAGGATGAAGCAGACTGATGCTGAGGCTTAGGCAGGCTGAGGCTGATCAGCTGAGGTTGAGGCCGAAGCTGAAGACCGAAGCCAACGCAGCTCCGGTAGATGTCAGGAAATGAGGCTGAGGCTGAGGCAGGCTGAGGCTGAGGCTGAGGCAGGCTGATGCTGAGGCAGGCTGAGGCTGAGGCAGGCTGAGGCTGAGGCTGAAGCAGGCTGAGGCTGAGGCAGGCTGAGGCTGAGGCCGAGGCTGAAGGCAGACTGAGGATGAGGCTGAAGCAGGCTGAGGCTGAGGCTGAGGCAGGCTGAGGCAGGCTGAGGCTGAGGCTGAGGCAGGCTGATGCTGAGGCAGGCTGACGCTGAGGCTGAGGCTGATGCAGGCTGAGGCTGAGGCAGGCTGAGGCTGAGGCCGAGGCTGAAGGCAGACTGAGGCTGAGGCTGAAGCAGACTGAGGCTGAGGCTGAGGCAGGCTGAGGCTGAGGCTGAAGCAGGCTGATGCTGAGGCATGCTGAGGCTGAGGCTGAGGCTGATGCAGGCTGAGGCTGAGGCAGGCTGAGGCTGAGGCCGAGGCTGAAGGCTGACTGAGGCCGAGGCTGAAGCAGGCTGAGGCTGAGGCTGAGGCAGGCTGAGGCTGAGGCTGAGGCAGGCTGAGGCTGAGGCAGGCTGAGGCTGAGGCTGAGGCTCATGCAGGCGGAGGCTGAGGCAGGCGGAGGCTGAGGCCGAGGCTGAAGGCAGACTGAGGCTGAGGCTGAAGCAGGCTGAGGCTGAGGCTGAGGCAGCAGGCTGAGGCTGAGGCTGAGGCAGGCTGAGGCTGAGGCTGAGGCTGAGGCTGATGCTGAGGCAGGCTGAGGCTGCGGCTGAGGCTGATGCAGGCTGAGGCTGAGGCAGGCTGAGGCTGAGGCCGAGGCTGAAGGCAGACTGAGGCTGAGGCTGAAGCAGCTGAGGCTGAGGCTGAGGCAGGCTGAGGCTGAGGCAGGCTGAGGCTGAGGCTGAGGCAGGCTGAGGCTGAGGCTGAGGCTGATGAGGCTGAGGCAGGCTGAGGCTGAGGCAGGCTGAGGCTGAGGCCGAGGCTGAAGGCAGACTAAGGCTGAGGCTGAAGCAGGCTGAGGCTGAGGCTGAGGCAGGCTGAGGCTGAGGCTGAGGCTGAGGCTGAGGCTGAGGCTGCAGGCTGAGGCTGAGGCAGGCTGAGGCGGAGGCCGAGGCTGAAGGCAGACTGAGGCTGAGGCTGAAGCAGGCTGAGGCTGAGGCTGAGGCAGGCTGAGGCTGAGGCTGAGGCAGGCTGATGCTGAGGCAGGCTGAGGCTGAGGCTGAGGCTGATGCAGGCTGAGGCTGAGGCAGGCTGAGGCTGAGGCCGAGGCTGAAGGCAGACTGAGGCTGAGGCTGAAGCAGGCTGAGGCTGAGGCTGAGGCAGGCTGAGGCTGAGGCAGGCTGAGGCTGAGGCAGGCTGAGGCTGAGGCTGTGACTGCGACTGCCGTTGCCACTGCGACTGCCATCGCGAATGCGACTACGACTGCGAGAACAGCAGAATTCTACAACAGGATTCTCATCTGAATCTTAAGGGGAATGCTTCCAAATATGCTCCTACACATCGTTGTTAGGTTGCTTTGCCGGGATAAGTTCTGCAGATGCATCGAACCAAACCGTCCAGAGCGTTTGATCCCTGATGCACAGGCGGGGACCTCAGCAAGGCCACGTCTTCATCGTGTTATGAGGGTTAAAGGTTCTTTTGTATTCGGTGGCCGGTGCTCCCTTCCCTTCTACTTGCACACAGCGAGGCCCCGAGGACGCATTGGCTTTGTGGCAGGTGCGACGATGGAGTCGGCAGGCCGTCCCGCGGCGGGACCGTCGTCGCCACGCCCCCCCACCTTTCCCGGGTGGAACGAAGACGCCGGCGCGAACGAGGGGGGAGCGGAGGGAGGAGGAAGAGATCACACTATACTTAGGTCGGGCATGTCCTCCTACAGGGGGATTTGGGAGGGATTTTTGGGGGGGGGGCATAGTCAAAGGCTGCTCCATGATGGTCAGAAGTGGTCGAAAAATCGGCCCTGGACTATTTGTTGACTACTTTTGAACATCCCTCCTGTACAGTCGGGGCCTTGACCTAAGGAGCCCAAAATAGGGAGCGAGGCCCCTTTTTTCCATAAGTTAGACTTCGAATTCGCATCGAAAACCGAAGGCAAACCCTAGGCAGGCTGCGAAACAATCAAGGAGCACGGAACCCCTCCCCAACGAAAAGGGTTCCTTACTCAAGCCCCTCACTGTACAGGGACAGGCCCGACTCGACACTCTGCCCTGAAGCAGGCTGGCCGGTGCGCCCGGCCGGTGCCCCCTGCTGGGTGGCCGCCTCGGTGGCGCGGAGGAGCGCTGCTGCTTCGTGGCGCCCGGAGGTCCTGCGCGCCCGCGCACGCCGCGCCGGCGGCGCCCACCTCCGCCAGCCGCACCTCCCGGGGATCTTCTGAAGCGGGTCAATCAGGACTTGCAGGATCCTGCAAGATCCTGCACCCCAACCCGGGTCAAGGCCAGGGATCCTGCAGGGTCCTGCACCCAAACCCGGGTCAATGCGACCCTGGCCCCGCGGGATCCTGCAAGATCGGGTGCTCTGGCTGACCCCCCGTTGCACTGACCCCCGTCTCAAGGCTCCCGAACCTCCGCGGTCGACGCGTCGCCGGCGCTCACCTCCTCGCGGCGCGTCGCGGCGAAGGGGGGGGGTGAAGAGGCATCCGTTTTTTGTTCGCGGTGGTGGCCGTTACTAGAGGCCTCTTAGATGGGGTCGGAGTAGATGGGGTCGGAGGATCGCGTCGCATCGCCGATACATCGGCGATACATCGGCGATGCATCGGTGATGCACCGGCGATGCATCGTCGACGTCGGCGATGCATCGCCGACGTCGACGTGAAGCAAATCGGGCCCCACATCGAGCCGCATCGGCGATGCATCGGCGATGCAGCGCGATCCTCCGACCCCATCTACCCCGACCCCATCTAGGAGGCCTAGAGTTACCAGCCCCCCCTTCTCGGTCACGCGCAGAGCGGGTAGGGGGGAAGGGGGGAAGGCTTGTGATTCTAAGAGGCCTTCCCCGTCCCCCCACCCCTTTCTCTGCGCGGGGCCGGCCTTCCCTAGCCCCCGGGCAGACAAGTAGCGTCCCTTACATGCTGTCGTCCGAGCTGTCTTTGTGAAGGGGCCCAGGGACACACAGATACAGACATACCAATCCCAGGATTCCCTTATTTTCCTAAATTTTATCGGTTTTCGTCTTCCCGCCCATTTCCCATATTTCCAGTTTTTTGTGAGAATCGAGAATTAATTACGTCTGTGTTCTTTTCCCTCCTGACTTTGGTTCTCTCCAGGCGCCGACGCCAAACGTGACCTTACGGGACCCCATTCCCCCCCTCTCCCCCGTAACGCCGGCGATCGCAAGGAAGTATAAAACGCCCTCCTGAAAGACAGCACCCGCGGGGGGGACGCATGCGAGCCCTGCCATACTGGGGCCTTCGGTGGAGCTCCCCATGGGACCACGAAACGTGTGAGGGGAGTGCCAGAGTGGTGCGGGGGGACGCATGCGAACCCTGACACTTGGGCCTTCTTTCGTGGCCGCGCGGCGCTCGGAGGTCCGCGCGGAGAGCAGAGATAAGAAGGGGAAGGATGGGGAGGGGGAGGAGGAGGAGGGCGCGAGAGGCGTGGCGCTGTCTGTTCAGTGCGACGACCCTGCCACTGGGGCCTTCAGAAGAGCCCTCTTTGTGGGGCCCCGCTACGTGCGAGGGGTGTGCCAGAATGGTGCAGGGGGACGCATGCGAACCCTGCCGCTGGGGCCTTCGGTGGAGTTCCCTAACTTGGGAACCCCCAAACCGGGTGGTGAGATACCAGGTGGCGACCTGGAATCCCCAAAAAGGTCACCGCTGGGATTGGGGACGCGGGGTCACCACCGGGTTTTGTGACTCCTGGACCCACCAGTGTCCGGGACATCCTCGGAAAACCGCACGAGTCCCCAAACCGGGTGGTGACACCAAATCGCCCGAGACTCACCGCCAGGTGTTGTCACCACCACGTTTGGGGACTACCAACTAACGATGGGGCCACGAAACGCATGAGGGTGTGCCGGAATGGTGCGGGACGCGTGCGAAACCTGCCACTTGGGCCTTCCGTGGAGCGCCCGATGGGGCCACGAAACTTGTGAGGGGCTTGCCGGAGTGGTGCGGGGGGGACACACGCGAACCCTGCCACTGGGGCCTTCGATGGAGCTCGCTATGGGGCCACGAAACATGTGTGGGGCGTGCCGAAATGGTGCAAGGGGGGACGCATGCGAACCCTGCCACTGGAGCTTTCGGTGGAGCTCCCCATGGGGCCACAAACCGTGTGAGGGGTGTGCCGAAAAAAAGGCGGGGGAACGCATGCGAACCCTGCCACTAAAATTCGGAGAAGCTCCTGATGGCGCTACGAAACACGTGAGGGGCGTGCCGGAATTCTACCGGGGGGCGCATGCGAACCCTACCGCTGGAGCCTAGGGGGAGGGAAAGGGAAGGAGGAGGAGGAAGAGGGGGAGGAGGTAGTGGAGGAGGAGGAGGAAAGAAAGAGGAAGGGGATGAGGGAGCAGAGAGGAGGGGCTCGCGCACGAAAAAGGAGGAGGAGGAGGGGCAGGAGTTCGAGGAGGAGAGTGGAGGAGGGAGGAGGAGGAGGAGGAGGAGGAGGAGGAGGAGGAGGAGGAGGAGGAGGAGGCAGGAGGAGCGAGGAGGCTGGAGGGACAGGGGGCAGGTGGAGGCGGCAGGTGGAGGAGAGCTGAGGGCCCGGGCAGCACCGCCGAGCCTCCACCCGCACGTCCGCGCCCGCCGCGGCGCTGGCGCCCGCGTCCCGCCGCTCCGCGAAGTCGGCGCCCGCGCGCCAGTACTCCGAGAGCAGCCGCTGCCCCAGCTCGGCCAGCTGCACCTCTGGCCGCGTCAGGCGAGGCACGCGGGGCAGAAGCGGGCGGGAGCATCCCAGGCGGCCGACGGCTGGACCAACCTCGAGGCGAAGGTTTTTGTCATCGTGTTCGGCCTGTCGGGCCCTTACGGGGCCTCGGGGCTGCCCAAAAAAGACTTGGGGTGAGAAGCCAGTCCCACGGGAGTCGTCGAGCTTCGAGAGGTCGGGGGGCCGTGTGTCGAAAAAGCAAGACGATGTCTGGGACGGCTTCCTTCGGCGGCCCTGGCGTGAAGGCGCATCTTGAGTCAATCAAGCCAGATGTGTTTCATACTTCACCAAACAAGGACTGCCCTCAGGGGTTCCTACTCGTGTTCCAGGAGCTGAGCCTGGTTCTCGGTCTGGTCGGCGGGTTGTCGCCGTCGCCGCCCTTCGCCGCCATCCGTCGCTGTTGTTTCTGCTCTTGACTGTTTGTCGCCGCACGTGTTATTGCGGTCGCCAGCCGTCGCAGTTGCTCTGCGCCTGGGTGTCGGTCGCCGCGCTTGTTGTCGCCGTCGCCTCCCGTCGCCGCCTCGTCGCCGCTCATCTCCGCCCGTCGCCGCCGCCCCTTTGGACCCCCCCGATTGCATGCCAATCGATTGCAATATATTGCACCACACGTGTTGCACCACATAGTTGAGACCAGATCTTGCATCATAGAGATATGTGGACAGATGTTGCACGATGTAGCTTACACCACGTATCACTACACAGCTTAAACCACGTAGCTCACAGCCCATATGTTTCACCACATTGTCTGCACCTAATATGTTGCGTTACATATAGTATACAGCATAGCTTACACCACACATAATGCACCACGAAAGTGTACGATGTAGAATGCACATGTATTACACCATACAACATAGCTGCACCACCGAGTTTGTTGTACATCCATTGCACCACATCGTTTGCACCAACTCGAATGCACAACGTGTACTGCACCATATATAGATGTGTTGGGACTCATATATTACACCACTACAAAATCTCAAATATATATATATATATATGTGATGATGTATAAAACATAGATCCTTAACCCTTGATCACCATATGTATATATATACGGCACAACAAAACTTGCAATGCGCAGTTCACACCCAATAGATCGGCCCAGTCACTATTACAATACATGGCACCACATCGATGAGTAAAGTAGCACCACGTAGATTGCACCACACTGCTTACACCACATAAGTATCATTGCGTGGATTGACCACACAGATTGCGCCACGTAGCTTAGCTACACGACATCGAAAAAACCGCGCAGGATCTCGTGGCTAATGGAACATTAGGGGAAGCATCCCCCAAACTTGACGGCCCGCCGTTGTGTATTGCTATTCAAACACCATTTTTGGGCCGATTGCCCATCCGAAACTGGACCTCACATCATGTCAAGCAATCCCGTTTGCGAACCCGTTTCCTTCATTTTTCTCCAACAATACGCGCGCATACCCGTTGTCAAAAACCATCCGCTGTTAAAAACCCTGTTGCAGATAATGGCACGAAGTGCACACGCGCGCGTCCTCACGCGCATGCCGAAATCTGTTTACCCTGAAGTCCCGTAAGCATGTCAAGATGGAATGCAAAAAAAAAAAAAAAAAAAAAAAAAAAAAAAAAAAAAAAAAAAAAAAACGTTACTCACCACGAACAGCGGCTGGAACTGTCAAGCGACAAAAAAAAACGCTCGCGCTCGTGAGAATTCGTGGCATAGAAAGAGCCGTTGTTTTTTTCAACACTTGCATTTGCCAAACGTGACCGTCGCGCGCGCATATCGAAATCATTCGAACGAAATTGCGGGCGCGCTCGTCGTGCAAGACCCCTGGCAATAAATGAAAAGAACTGCACACGCGCTCGTCGTCGCGTGCGCATGCCAAAATCCCCGGAAAAAAACCGACGCGTCGCAAACATGTCAAATCCATTGTCCGAACAAACATTGTACGTCAAGAAATTTCAACATACATGCGCGCACGTTCGTGCGTTTTTTTTTTTTTGAAAAAAAATAAAAAAAAAAAAAAAAAAAAAAAAAAATCAAAACCAACCAAATGAGCCTCTCGCGCCGCACGTCAAAAAAATAGAACGCCCTTGCCCGCGTGCTCTGGGGGGGCAGGATCCTCATCAAATAGCACCACGCAGACCATTCGCGCGCGTCGGCCGCGCGCGCATGCCGAAATCCATCCAAAACCTGGATCAGCGACGCGAGAACACCGTCAGCGTCATCGGAGTGGGCAGCATCATCGCCGTCATTGGCCATGCCGTCATCATCGCCATCATCGTTACCATCAGCGCTACTACCACCATTGTGCTTACCATTGTCGACGTCGCCACGATACCGGGCCCGCCCAAGTCACCGACTCGCACTGCAGTGCCCGCTGGGACGTGCCCAGCGCTCAGCGCGACCACGTTCGCGCCAAACGAGCTGGCCGTTGTGCGCGCGAGCATGCGCGGGCTAGCGCGGCAGCAGAGTTGCACCAGCCAGCACCAAGCACTCACCGCGATCGTCGGCGCAAAGATGTTGCAAACCAAGTTGCGGGTGGGAAGATCGCGCGAACAGAAGGATTGGAGAACTCCAGATTTTGTAGTAATTATTCGTACAGCATGGAATCTCCTGTCTTCAAAGGAATATGATATAGCACCCACCCACCGATCCGCCCGTTTTTTCGTATTGAGATTGACACAGTATCCTGCACCGCCGCCCATCCGAAACATGTGTTCGTACCACTCCAGCCCAACCGGTATCGACCCCCCCCCCCGCCATGCTAAGCAAAAAACGATGCGCGCCTTCCCAGTGCTCAAAAACCATCAGTTGTCAAGAACCCCGGGCACACGCGCGCGTGGTCGCGCGCACATGCCGATATCGTTCGGAATCCTGGCATCCCGTAGAGATGTCAAGATCGACTGTCTCGTAAACATGTACAACCACAGGTTTGTGTTACATCACAACTTTCGGATAAAGTCCGCGCGCGCACTGGCGAATTCCTGAGAAATCTAATAGCCTTTTGTGTTATCGAATTCATCAAAACGCGCCTCTCACGTGCACATGTCGATATCGTTCGAACGCCCTTGCGCGCGACCTGGGGGGGATCCATTTCAAATAACACCATTCGGGCCACTCGCGCGACTCGGCCGCGCGCGCATGCCGAACTCCTCCCGAAACCTTCATCACCGACGCGTGGACACCGTCACCGTTACTGTTGTCGCCGTCATTGGCCTTGCCGTCGTCGTCGCCATCATCGTCCTCACCGTTACTACCATGATCGTGTCTACCGTTGTCGACGCCGCCATGATACTGCACCCGCACAAGTCACCGACTCGCACTGAAGTGCCGGTCGTTCGATCGACCTGCGAGACGCGGTGGGAAGTGCCCATCGGTCAGCGCCACCGCGGTCGCCTCGGACGCGCCGAACGAGCTGGCCGCTGTGCGCACGAGCATGCGCGGGCTAGCGCAGCAGCAGAGTTGCACCAGCCAACACCAAGCACTCATCGCAATCGCTGCCACATGGATTTTGCAGACCAAGTTGCGGGCGGGTGGGTGGAATGATTGCGCGAACAGAAGGATTCAAGAATTCCAATTATTTAAAATTAATTGAACAGCATGGATTCTTCTGTCTTCGAATAATATGATATACCACACCCCACTGCGAACAGAAACTAAATTGCACCACATATATTGCACCACATGGATTGAACCACGTAGTATGCTAGAACACACTAATTGGCGTCAACGCTGACCAACATGTTCAACCTCTCGGGGCCCATACCGGGCCTCGAAGCCTTCAATGATCGAGAGATGAGGAGCCCGTGTCTCCAAAAAATCGGGACGCCGGATGTCTGGGAAGGCTTCCTTCGGCGGCCTTGACGTGAAGACTAAGCCAAGATTGGGACAACATCGGACCGGGAAAAATCGGAGATCTCTGAGATCCGACGGCGAACGGGGGAAAAGAAAAGGAGGGAGGGAGCTACCTATTAGAAACACGACGCCACGATGCACCTCCTCCTCCTCCTCCTCCTTCTCCTCCTCCTCCTCCTCCTCCTCCTCCTCCTCCTCCTCCTCCTCCTCCTCGTTCCCCAATTCTCCTCCTCCCCCCCTCTCCCCTCCTCTCTCCTCTCCTCCTCCTCCTCCTCCGCCTCCTGCCTCCTCCGCCTCTCTCCTCCCTCCTGCTCCTCCTCCTCCGCTCCTCCTCCTCCTCCCTCCTCCTCCTCCATCTCCCCGTCTGCTTTGGCCTCTCCAGTTCCTCCTCCTCCTCACTCCTCCTCCCTCCTCCTCCTCCCCCTCCTCCTCCTCCTCCTCATCATCATCATCATCATAATCATCAGCATCACATCACATCAGCATCAGCATCAGCATCATCATCATCGTCCTCATCCTCATCCTCACCTCGTATCCTCCTCCTCCTCCTCCTCCTCCTCCTCCTCATAATCATCATCATCATCATCATCATCATCATCATCATCATCATCATCATCATCATCATCATCATCATCATCATCATCATCATCATCATCATCATCATCATCATCATCATCATCATCATCCTTTCATCCTTCTCCCTGCTCCTCCACTCCTCCATCTTCAAACAGCCCGAGCCTGCAGGAACTCCTCGTAGCGCCGGCCGCGGTGCGCCTCGGGACCGCTTCATTATAATTATAAGGGCTCGGCAGCCTCGGCTGCCCCGCGGCTCGCGCCGGGACTTCCACGACTTGCTGCAGACCAGGGCTCGACCTAAAGCGTGTTTTTCGTTTGCGTGTTGCTGTCGTTTCCTCTTGCTTCGTCTCCAATCTGCCTTTGCTGCAAAACGGAATCGAAGCGAAAACGGTCCACGGCATCGCCAAAGAACACCGCTTGGGTCCACCCCTGCTGGGCAGTTCGGGGCCCCTGCTGGGCAGGCCTCGGGCGGAGCGGCGCGCTGCAGGGCACCCAGAGCAGGACCTGCCTCCGAGCCGAAGAGGCCCAGGGACACGCA